CTACTTGGGCAACATAGTGAGACCCCATCTCTACCAAAAATAAAAAATATATATATAAAATTAGCCAGGACAGTGACATGCATCTGTAGTCCTGGCTACTCAGGAGGCTGAGGCAGAAGGATCATGAGCCCAGGAGTTTGAGGCTGCAGTGAGCTATGACTGCACCACCACCGCACTCTAGCCTGGGTGACAGAGCAAGATCCTGTCTCTAAAAAAAAGAAAGAAAAGAAAAACCAGTCTTTGGGTAAGAACAATAAAAAGATTTCTACTTGGTGAGGCTACCAGCTCTGGGAACCTTAGAGAACCAAACTAACTTAAGAATAAGGGGAATAGGGCCAGGCATGGTGACTCACACCTATAATCCCAGCATTTTGGGAGGCCAAGGTGGGCAGATTAGCTGAGGTCAGGAGTGCAAGAACAGCCTGGCTAACATGGTGAAATCCCGTCTCTACTAAAAATACAAAAATTTGCTGGGCATGATGGTGTGTGCTTGTAATCCCAGTTACTCAGGAGGCTGAGGCAGGAGAATCACTTGAAACCAGGAGGTGGAGTGAGCCAAGATTGTGCCATTGCACTCCAACCTGGGAGACAAGAGGGAAACTCCATCTCAAAAACAGAAAAAAAAGAATAAGGGTGATAGGGTCAGGTGTGGTGGCTCACACCTATAATCCCAGCACTTTGGTAGGCCGAGGTGGGCAGATCACTTGAGGTCAGAAGTTCAAGACCAGCCTGGCCAACATGGTGAAACTCTGCCTCTACTAATAATACAAAAATTAGCTGAGCGGGGTGGTGCACCTCTGTAATCCCAGCTGCTCGGGAGGGTGAGGGAGGAGACTCACTTGAACACGGGAGGCGGAGGTTGCAGTGAGCTGAGACTGCACCACTGCATTCTAGCCTGGGTGACAGAGTGAAACTGTTTTGGAATAAATAAATAAATAAATAAATAAATAAGGGTGGCAGGTCTTATCTTGTCAGCATTTTTCTGTCTCTATTGTGAGGTTCAGGAGGGCATAAGTTATTTGCACCTGAGAGGATACCCCAGGCAGGAGGCAGGGCATGTAGTTTAAAAAAGTCCATTCCATATAAATGTCTCTATTGTTTTTGTGATAAAATCTGCAAGAAGTATAGCTTGATCAAATCTTTTTTCATGAGGGTACACAAGAGTGCAAAAGCATTTTGAAGGGGAATGGACTAGAAAAGCATCAACCTAAATTATTCCTCAGAGTAGGACAAGTTTACAAATGCTCCTGACTTCCTTGGCAGGCAGCAGAGAAGGAAGCATGTGCTGCTTTCATAGAGGCTTAGTAGGAAAAACGTCACCAGCTGCTGGTGCGTCTCTTTACTTTTTTGAACCTGGAATTCCTGCTTTATTTTTCTACCTTTTTACGTGATCATCAGCAATGGCTAACATTGGTCTCAGGATGTGTTGCTCCTCTAACAGCAGAGCATGTCTCCAGTCACTCGTGTCTTACTCACTCATGCATTCATTCTATTATTATTATTATTTTTGAAGACAGGCTTGCCCTGTTGCCCAGGCTAGAGTGCAATGGCGTGGTTTCGGCTCACTGCAACCTCCACCTCCTGGGTTCAAGTGATTCTCATGCCTCAGCTTCCCGAGTAGCTGGGACTACAGGTGTGTACCACCACACCTGGCTAATTTTTGCATTTTTAGTAGAGACAGGACTTCGTCACATTGGCCAGGCTGGTCTCAAACTCCTGACCTCAGCCTCCTAAAGTGCTGGGATTACAGGTGTGAGTCACTGTGCCCGGTCACTCACACCTTCATTCTTGCATTTCAAGTGTGTTTGAGCTTCTCCTGGGAGCTGGGTCTCATGCCAGGCACTGTGCTGAGTGCTGAGGAGACGTGGTGAACAAGATGAGCTGGCTCCTACCTTCATGAAACTACCATCTAAAGGGGAAAGAAAACGTAATAAATGGGATGAGTGTGCAGAAGTGCAAGGTGCTGTGGGAATCTGGTCTGGGAGTATTGATTGGGGACCACTTCCCCTAAGGTGATGGTTAAAGCTGAGGACTGAAGCACATTCGGGGGTTTGTAAGGTGAAGGACAAGAAACAACTAACCACTTTCTTTTCATCACAGAATCTCGAATCCTGACCTTCTTAGAAACCTACCTTGCCTCGGGTCATCAGAAGCCATTACCCACAGTCCCTGGGGGACTCAGTCCAGTTCAGAGAGAACTGGAGGAAGTTGCTATTAAATTTGCTCGCCTGGTCAACTATAACAAGATGGTCTTCTGTCCCTACTATGATGCAATCCTCAGTAAGATCCTCGTCCGATCCTAACGTGTATGCACCTACAGCAGCAGTATTACTCACTCGCCGCAGAATACCTGTTCTCAGCTCTAATGTTGCATTGGAAAATGGCTATATTGTACATGTCTATTTAACAGCACCGATTCCAAAGGGAAGAATATTATGTATCACTGTTGGAAAGATTCGTTGAAAAATGCACTGAATTCTATTTTGAGAGATTGTATTTATGAGTGCAAGTTTACAAATCAAAGAAGATTTTTGTTCTCGAGTTTTACAGGTAACGTTCAGCTGTGTCTCCACTCCTTTCCCATCATGTCATTCCAAGGAGGCTGGGACCTCTCTCTTCTGCAATCTGGGTAGTTCTTCTTTCAGATACCCCGTGCTGACAGCCATCCAAGCGTAAAAGAGACCAAGCCGTGACTTCACCTCTTGCCCTCCGTCAAACAGCCTTGCCCCCGACTCCTCCCTCCTGGTATTTTTTGTTAGAAGGGCTACATAACATCTTAGTGCCATTTTCTCCCCCTATTTATTGCATAGGGCTCCCAAGCCCTTTGTTCTAGAGGAGAATTATTTGTCTCCTTTTTTTTTTTAACTTTCTTTTTTATATTTAAATTTTTTTTTCTTTTAACCTTCCCCCAAAGAGACAGAGTTATTGGACTTTAAAAAGCTTGTTCTTTTATACAGAATTACTCCTGCGTCTGGATGACAGCAGTTACAACTTATGACATCTAGTGAAAGGAAATTCTTTGATTTTCAACCCTTGAAAGTCAGAGGAAATTTTTTGAAAAATAGTTTACTGTAATGTGAAGGAAATGTCTGAAATTCTTACTTAAACTTTTACTCTGAGAGAATACACAGATGTGTTGCTTAAATTAAATTCTGGGATTAGATTTAAGTGTTTTCAGATAAAATAGCTTGAGTTCACGAATCTCCTAGGTAAGGAAGTCATAGAGAATCTCTGGTGTTTGAGTATTATTTTTCAAGGAACTTCAGTGACCAGAATTCCTGACATGTCCTCTGACTGTGAGTGATTTGGGTCTCATAGATGATCTGTTCTGTTTGTTTGTTTGTTTGTTTGTTTTAAAGTGTACACGTGCATGTATGTATTTTAGACAGGGACATTATATTAGAAGCAGAGCCATGAAGTTGGAATGATCTCCAACCGCCAGAACAGCAAGGGGTCAGATTATATTACTGTACGAGTAATGCAGTAATAGCAGCACGTGAAGCCTTCTGGACGGGAAGCTAAGAGAAACTTAGAAGCTGGCCGGGTGTAGTGACTCATGCCTGTAATCCCAGCACTTTGGGAGGCCAAGGTGGGCAGATTACCTGAGGTCAGGAGTTTGAGACCAGCCAGGCCAACATGGTGAAACCCTGTCTCTACTAAAAATACAAAACTTAGCTGGGCATGGTGGTGCATGCCTGTAGTCCCAGCTACTTGAGAGGCTGAGACCAGAGAATCTCTTGAACCCAAGAGGCAGAGGCTGCAGTGAGCTGAGATCATGCCACTGCACTCCAGCCTGGGTGACAGAGTGAGGCTCTGTCTCAAAAAAAAAAGAAACTTGGAAACCATTTCAGAAAGACCCCAGGAAGACCAGCAGCCATCCCTGCACACCCAGGGGTAAGGACTACGTTTCACTACTAGCAGCTGTTTTCTCTGATCCCTCTTTGTAAGGAAATGCAGTGATTGTAGGTTTTCAAGAAAGACTTGAAGAAGCAGTTGGGTGGGTATTCCAATAGGACTGATGGGGAGAAAAGCAGATATTCCATGAAAAGGATATTGGTCCCGGTAGAGTCCGAATACATTCCGCTTTCAGGATTTTCGAGATTGCTGATGGTCCCAGGGTTTATACAAGGACTTGGATCTGGTGCTAGGAGCTCAGGTAGAAATTACATGTATACAGATCAGCACTGATGTTGGTTCTAATCTATGATGATGTGATAAATTAAAAAACAACAACAAACGGGGCTGGGCACTGTGGCTCACACCTATAATCCTAGCACTTTGGGATGCCAAGGTGGGAGGGTCACCTGAGCTAGGAGTTCAGGTCTAGCCTGGGTAACATAGTGAGATCACATCTTTACAAAAAGTACAAAAAAAATTAGCCTGGTTTGGTGACACACGGTTGTACTCACAGTTGTACTCCCAGCTACAAGCTGAGGCCGAAGCAAAAGGATTGCTTGTGCCCAGGAGTTTGAGGCTGCAGTGAGCTATGGTTGTGCCACTGTGCTCTAGCCTGGTTGACAGCCATAGCCTGTCTCTCCTCACCAAAAAAAGTAGAGCCAGATATATCTTTAGATCCCAGGCTGGAGACTGGAGAATCTGGGGTCACTGTAATCTGGCAGACTGGCCACATTTTGTGAGAGGACTTTTATTTATATTTATTTTTTGTTTGTTTGAATGTGTTATTTTTTGGGGGGGGGCGGTGGGATGGAGTTTTGATCTTGTTGCCCAGGCTGGAGTCCAGTGGCGCAATCTTAGCTTACTGCAACCCCCACCTCTTGGATTCAAGCGATTCTCCTGCCTCAGCCTCCCAAGTAGCTTGGATTACAGGCATGCACCACCATGCCCAGCTAATTTTGTATTTTTAATAGAGACTGGGTTTCTCCATGTTGGTCAGGCTGGTCTCAAACTCCCAACCATGGTGATCTGCCTGTCTCGGCCTCCCAAAGTGCTGGGACTATAGGCATGAGCCACTGTGCCCAGCCTGAATGTGTTATTTTTTAAAATAGAAACCATATCACTTCGTTTGTTATAGCGAATAATTCAAGAGGGCCCCAGAAAGTTCTTTCATCCACAGAATTACAGAAAGGATAAGCACCCTCACCACCCAAGCCTTTGGTTCATTCGTTTTATTTTGTTTTGATCTCTGTTCTCTTACCACACTGACATGCTGCATCCAGAATGGAACTCTGTCTCTAAGTTTTATACTAGTTAGGAGGCTAGTCTGTCAGAACATCCCTAATTTAGCTGAGGAACCTGGGAAAGTCTTCCTTGATTTTTGCTTCATCCCGAGTCCCGTAAATGTTTTCTTTAAAAAGCTGCAGGCAAATGATGTAGAATGGACAGAGACATGAGACAGAAATCAGCAGAAGGGCAAAGAGTACGGCTCCCACGGCACTAATAGACAGTAGCCTCCCAAGGCTAAACACAAAAAGCAGTGTGACCACCACATGGCTCCAGGGAGTACATGCCTTTAGTCTCTTCTATAACATGGGCCACAGGACAAAAACCTGGAGGCAAGTGTTACCATGATGAAGGCAGGGACTGGGGAAGGCGTGATGCCAGCAGCCAGAAGCAAAGGTGGCCATGTTCAAGGATAGCGTGCTGGACATAGTGGCAGTATTGGCACCATAGTCAAAAAAGATGAGGTGGCCCAACAGCATGAAGACGGACATGGCATAGATGGTGTCAGTGCTGAGAGACTCTGCCAGGTTCTTTAGCACTGGTGAAAAGCCATAAGTGAAAGTAATGAAGACTAGGGCACTCTCCAGGTCAGCCCACCAGGTCCACCCACTTTTCTTCCGCCCTTCATCTCCATCAGTGAAATCAAACAAAACACCCAATCAGTGAAGAAGATAGGCCAGTCCCAAAAAGCCAATGGGAGGCCAGAAGACCCTCATCCATGGAACACCAGATAACCAGAAAGTCACAAATGCTGCACAGCTGCTGGATCACCACACTGGACTCAAGTACCACAGTCCACCATTGGTATTTCCAAGCCTGGATGTTTTTCCGGAGCTCTTCCAGGAACCAGGTCTACTAAGTTGTCAGGAAAGGGCTGTTTCTCATATAAGACCTTCTGCCACTTTACCTCCTTGGCGTCAATTACAGGTTGGGGACACATTATCCTTTCAGACTCAGGCCAGTATAATCATCGCTTCACAGAAGTCCATGTGGTTCTTGTTCTTGATGAGGTTTTGAAATGAGACCTCCCTGGATGTTCCATGCCGTGGTTGATGTTCTACCGACCTTTCCTTGTTTTCAAAGGCAGCAATCCAGGCTAGACCTAAAACAGATGAGTTTGTCTCTGAGACAGGACAACACAGCCAAGTTCCTGCCAAGAGTTCCTGGGGATGCGTGGCTGGGGAATGGCAGCCACCTGCCTTTTTCCTTGTGAGGGTACTTTTAAAGGAGGAAATCACATCTTCTATAGTATGTTCAATGAGGTCACTTCTGGAATTGTTCTCTTGAGGTGGAGGTTGCTCTGTGGCCACTGTGCCTGGTGATTGTATGATCCTGGGTTCCTGGGCTGAGAAGCCTCAGCCTCAGAGTGTTTGGAGGCTTTTCCTCCCCCTGCAAGGCTGAAGGAGAGGAGCTTACCCCCAACTACACAGCAGCGATCACCACTTCCTACAGCCATTCTTCCTAAATCTCAAAAACTCTTCTTTTGTAAGAGTAGATTCTTTCAAGGTATTTTTCCTGTCCTGAGTTCTTACATTGCCAGAATTCCATTTGGACAGTTTGAAATCTTGATACATGAATAATTGGCTTCACAGACTCTCTTGGCCCCCCACTACCTCGATGTCCACTGGTGGAGTTCTGCAACTGGCAAAAGCCAAGAATGAAGGAAGCAAACTTCAGAACCGCAATATTCATATTGAATCATTTTGTTGTTGCTCTATGAAGATAAATAAGCTAATTTTCTTCCTGGAATCTCATAGGATTATTACTAAGGGCCAGGGAGATCCACTTTGTTCATTTAGTCACTCAGGAAGCATTACTAAGCATCCAGCTGCACTTTCCCCTACAGCTGTCCCTCCAAAACAAAACATCCTTTGGAGCGTGGTGTTCTTCAGAATAGAACGGATTCTATATGCTGCATTCAGTAACAGGTTGTGGAGACAAGTGTCTTTTCCAGGTGTATTTGGCAGTAGTACTTTACTACTTGTGGATAGAACTGAGAGTGAGGTCAGTATCACCAAGCCTCCTGGATTTCTTCAATAGTCTCATGAATGAGTGAATATTTAGAGCAGTAACTGCTACTTTGTTGGGTCTTGGTTGGGTGGATGGATTCTCAGTCCTGGTGTTTTTAAAAATTTCATTCTGCCGGGCGCGGTGGCTCAAGCCTGTAATCCCAGCACTTTGGGAGGCCGAGGCGGGTGGATCACGAGGTCAAGAGATCGAGACCATCCTGGTCAACACGGTGAAACCCCGTCTCTACTAAAAATTCAAAAAATTAGCTGGGCATGGTGGCGCGTGCCTGTAATCCCAGCTGCTCAGGAGGCTGAGGCAGGAGAATTGCCTGAACCCAGGAGGCAGAGGTTGCAGTGAGCCGAGATCGCGCCATTGCACTCCAGCCTGGGTAACAAGAGCGAAACTCCGTCTCAAAAAAAAAAAAAAAAAAAATTTCATTCTGGCTGGGCGCGGTGGCTCACACCTGTAATCCCAGCACTTTGGGAGGCCGAGGCAGGTGGATCACAAGGTCAGGAGTTCGATACCAGCCTGGCTAAGATGGCAAAACCCGGTCTCTACTAAAAATACAAAAATTAGCCAGGCACGGTGGTGGGTGCCTGTAATCCCAACTACTTGGGAGGCTGAGGCAGGAGAATCACTTGAACCTGGAAGGTGGAGTTTGCAGTGAGCTGGGATCACACCATTGCACTCCAGCATGGGTGACAGAGCAAGACTCCGTCTCAAATTCCCTCTGAAGCAAGCTATAATATGTGATTATTTATGTGATGATATGACTCCACCATAAATGTACTTCAGGTAAGAAGCACACTGACATGATATCTTACTGATCAAATGCAGTTGGTAGGTATATATGAACTTTTTCCTCTGTGAAGAAAAGCTATTAATAAGTTTGACTTAATAGGCCTAGAGTATGCACATACTGGCCAAGATTCTAAATGGATTATTCAGCAATTCTGTTTTCGTGGTGGTGCTTATTTTCATTTCTCCAAAGCCTTAAGATTCCTGGGAATAGAGGAAGTATTGCTGCCACCAACTTTGCTGTTGAGTTTCAAAGAGAATAGGTGTTTGCTGTTTGATTTTTGGTGACCTTTTGGTGAGCTCTGATTTATATGTGGAACATTGGTGTTTCTTTTCATTGTGAGGCCAGGTGGTAGAGTGGACAGACTGGGAGCTGTCAGGAAACCAGGGCTCGGATTGTCCCTCTGTAATGTACTAGCTGGGGCAAATCAGGGCCCATTCCCAACTCCTTTAAAATGAAAGGACTAGATATGGTCTTTAAGCTCCCTTCTGATTCTAACATTTGGCGGTAGCAGGATTGTGCACAAAGCTCCCAGTTTAGAGAAAGATCTGGGTTTGAGTCTTTTTTCCTCTATCGCCGCCTTACTGGCTGTACAACATTGGCCTCAGTATTTTCATTGTTAAATGGGAACACTCCTAATTCACACTGTTGCTGTGAGGATTACATTTGGTTAGAGTGTTTGAATGCTTTGTACATAGAAAAGGACTGTCCTTTTTGTTTTTAGCTACAAAGGTGAACATGTAACCCTCTATCCGTAGTCGCACATCTGCTGTGGTGTTAGGTTCCACTGTTAGCGCCCAACTTCCCTTCCGTCAAGCACATTCTACAGGCCGATAGGGAAGGTTTTCTTCCTGTCCTCTCTTCTGTACTAGAGCTGCAGTCTTACCTTTGCCCACTTCCTGACATCCACCTCCACCCCAGTGATTTCTCCCCATCTCCACCTCTGTATTATTTGAACTAAATGAATCCTTGAATGAACAAATGAATGGATGAATGAATGGTAATGGATAATGGGCTATGAAGTCATATTTAAAGGCACTGTCTCATTTAAAAACAATCTAAATAAATAACTACGATGATATTTGCAAGTGTGTATTTGTATTGGATTTTGCATTATATAATTATTTTAATCGAAAGACTTTTTGGTCATAGTATTCAAAGCAACTTCAAGGGGTAAGGAAGGGGATAACCTTTAAGCCCAGGTAAGCTCTATTTATTAAACTATCAAATGTTCACTGGTACTTTCAGAAATAGCCAGAGTTCTACAAAATATGTGTTAAAAGCCTAAACAGACATAATTCTACTTACAACTATCCTTCGTGTGGGTTTCTGTCACACCTGACTTACATTTATTGCATACTGAACCTAAGAACCAGAACTAAGCTCTAGGCCTGTGTTGATGGAGTGTCACTTTTCTTGACTTAAAAGTAACCTTAAGAAAGAGGGGCCAGGGAAGACACTGTGTCTCACGCCTGTAATCCCAGCACTTTGGGAGGCTGAGGCAGGTGGATCACAAGGTCAGGAGATTGAGACCAGTCTGGCCAACATGGTAAAACCCCATCTCTACTGAAAATACAAAAATTAGCCAGGCATGGTAGCACGCACCTGCAGTCCCAGCAACTCAGGAGGCTGAGGCAGGAGAATTGCTTGAATCTGGGAGGTGGAGGTTGCAGTGAGCTGAGATCACACTGTTGCACTTCAGCCTCGGTGATAGAACGAGACTCTGTCTCAAAAAAACACAAAAAAGGGGCTGGGAGTAGTGGCTCACGCCTGTAACCTCAGCACTTTGGGAGGCCGAGGCAGGTGGATCATTTGAGGCCAGAAGTTCTAGACAACATGGCTAAACATTGTCTCTACTAAAAGTACAAAAATTAGCCAGGCATGGTGGCATACGCCTCTGCTCCCACCTCAGACTGCTGAGGGAGGAGAATGGCTTGACCCCAGGAGGCAGTTGCACTGAGCCAAGATTTCGCCACTGCAATCCAGCCTGGGTGACAAAGTGAGACCCTGTCAAAAAAAAAAAAAGAAGGGCTGCGCATGAGCTAATCCCAACACTTTGGGAGGCTGAGGTGAGAGGACTGCTTGAGCCCAGGAAGTCAAGACTAGCCTATACAACACAGGGATATCCTGTCTCTACAGAAAATTTTAAAAATTAGCTGGGCATGGTGGATGGCGATGCATACCTATGCTTCCAGCTACTTGGGAGGCTGAGGTGGGAGGATCATGCTGTGATCGTGTCTCAAAACAAACAAAAAGACATCTGAAAATTTTTGTTTTGTTTTGTTTCTGAGATGGAGCCTCACTCTTGTTTCCCAAGCTGGAATGCAGTGGCACAATCTCAGCTCCCAAGCTCAAGCACTTCTGCCTCAGCCTCCCTGAGTAGCTGGGATTATAGGCATGCACCACCATGCCCGGGTAATTTTTGTATTTTTAGTAGAGACAGGATTTCACCATGTTGCCCAGGCTGATCTTGAATTCCTGACCTCAGGTGATTTGCTCACCTTGGCCTCCCAAAATGCTGGGATTATAGATATGAGCCACTATGCTGGGCTGAAATTTTTATTCAGTAACATAAGTTCACTTGCTCGTTGTCACAAAGAACTGCCAACTTTAATGAAGTTTGTCTTAGGAATTTTTTTAAAAAAGCAGAATGTGTGAATATGATGACTATAATAAAATTGAACTTGATATTTATTTATTAACTGTAGGCCAGTACAGGGTTATAAACTTATCAAATAAATTAATAATTATTGACCAAGGTCAATATATTAACAAAAATGGTGTTTTTTTAAAAATTCTTTTTCATTGGTACAATTTGGTTGTTCAGAGAGTTTACTAGCAGTGTCTGTAACCTTTTCCTTTACTAGGTGTGGCCACATAGATGCAACCTCTTTTCCCCTTTTTTTTTTTTTTTTTGAGACAGAGTCTCGCTGTGTCGCTGGGTTGGAGTGCAATGGTGCGATCTCAGCTCACTGCAACCTCTGCCTCCTGGGTTCCAGCAATTCTCTTGCCTCAACCTCCTGAGTAGCTGGGATTACAGGCGTCCGCCACCATGCCCAGCCAATTTTTTTTGCATTTTTAGTAGAGACAGGGTTTCACCATGTTGGCCAGGCTGGTTTCGAACTCCTGAT